GGGGCCATCCAGTAGTCATGAAAGTAAGGGAAGGTAGATGAACCTGTGAAAAGACAGCATCCTTCCCAATGAGATCCCAACAGCAACAAAACCACATGTGAAGAGATAGAGCCAAAAAGGACATTGGCACCAAGGAGGAGTAAGGTGGGAAAATGGATGTGGGAGAAATGTATAGGATTACCAGGGACAGTCCCCCCCACACACACACGAGCAAAATTGACTCCAACTGCTGGGAGTCAAGAAAAAGTTGATCAGCTGGCAGATAAGCCAAAGCATAATGATCAGAAGTACATGGAGGATGAGGTATGCTAACACTAACCCTCAACTGAGAAACAAAATGCTCAAAATCAACCCTCATATCAGGGGAAGGAAGGAAAATAAGGAACTCTAATGACGGGAAGTCATGTACAAAAAAAGAAGAAACTGTAACATACAAAAATGTTGAAAATGATAAAATAGAACACACCTGAGAAAACATATCCAAAAAAATAGAGTTAAACCTAGTAGATTTCGTAAGAGATACATGGGAAGGCACGGCATAGGTAGGAGGAGGAAAAAAGCTGTTAAAGTCCTCCTTGTCATGAACAGGGTCAGGAAATGCAGGAGGAACTTGAACATTGTCAGGAGAAAAAGAACACCTCATACAACAATCAATCTCCCAACAAATGATAGCCAAAAAATCTTCAGTCAAGACCCCCATACTTCAAGCCAGTAATGGCATCGAAGTGGTGGTAATAATATCAGAAGTTGTAAAACACAAACTTTGGAATTCATCTTAAACTGTGAATAAGTCAAAAAAGAGAAAAAAATCAGCAAACAAAATAGGTAAGTTATCATGGCAAACTACTACAGAAAAACTAACTGTAACAAATCAAGTAAATCACTACTTCACACAAAAAAAAATGAAATGAACACATGAAAAGAGCCCAATGAAAAACGTCTGCACTTGACACTACCTAATAAGAAGTGAAAGTTTGGGAGAATCAAATAGATGGAGTCACAAGCGTCTGGAGAGTGTGTCCCTCCGCTATTGGTGGAGGATTGTTACATGATGATTTACATGCGAGATACAGTTGAACCATATTGATCGTGGAGTACATGGGAGTTCAAGGCTTGTAACATGCAAACAAAATTTGTGCAGATAAAAAGCAGCACTAAACAAGAATAGCTAAACATGTGATGAGTGGAGGTAATGTACCGTATCAGAAAAAATATTTTATCATTCATTTCTTTCACTTCAAATAAAGATACACAAACACCTATTAATCTAGCTATTGTACAGCTTATGCAAATTTTATAAACTTTTCATGCATCTAGGTATTTACAACTTTTAAGTAAAATTTCTCATTTCATATCATTATCATCACTTTCAATATTCAATGATAGAATTTCATGTAAATACATCTGTATTTTAAGATGTGTAAGTTCAAGGTGACAGAAAACCTTTTGGCCTAACCAGGTAGCCCCTCTGTCCACAAAAATAATCATTCTATTACTATTCTGCTGACTTCATGATCTTAAGTGTTATCCAAAACACATGTACAACAGTAATTAGATTAAAATGCTTACAATACAGGGCTGTCCACAATTATTTTTCCTATTTTAAAACTCAACAATTAAATACCTAAAGAAATACAATCATGCAGTTTTCAGTATCTTCTAGTCCAACTCAAATAGTTTTCACTGGCATGTCAGTAGACTTCTACGTGTGCACCATTAGTGTCTCTCAGCATGTCTAACAAATATTTGATTTCAGTTCACATTTGCTGCAACATGCCCACAGATAGCAAACATTCTCCTAGTTTTTAGCTCCATAATGTTTGTTATAGGTGTGTGATATATGATGTCCTTAATATACCCTCAAAGAAAGAAGTCTAATGGAGTGATGTTTGGCAAATGCAAGAGGCCACGGAATTGGCCCACCCCAGACCAATCCATCACATTCAACCATTTCTTGCACTGTTGCCATTTTATGAGGTAATGCTACTAACTGGAGTGAAGAAAAAACATGACAATAAAAAACATTTGAATTGGGCTACAGAATGTTGAAAACTGCAAGGTTGTTATTCTTTAGTTATTTAATTATTACAATTTAAAATAGGAAAGATAATTTTGGGCCACCGATATTATGGATGAGATTTCAAAATTAACCTCTAACTACTTTTAAGTTGTTTTTTTCTGCACTTTCATACATTAAAATTTGTTAAATTTAGTGGGATTGTAGTTTTAATGCATCTGCTACATGAATTGCATGAAACAAGTTGTTGCTAGTAGTAAGACAAATAATATTTTGTGTTGTCTTTATAGAAACATTGAATATAAGTCTAAAAAGGTTATAACTTCTGTGTATAAGTCATTTATTAGGTCTCACTTGAAGTATTGTTTCATTTTTTGTGCTCCTTACCATAAGCAAGACATTGAATTGTTGGAAAGGATTCAGAGGATGGTGGCTAGGATGATACCCAAGATGAAAAGTTGTCATATAAAGACAACATAAGATCTTTGAAATGGGTTCTCTTGAAGTAAGAGGGGGATCTGACTGTGGTGTTTGAGATTATTGTGGAAACTGATGGTATTGATGCATCAACTTCTTCAATATTTACTGATGAAAATGTCAGGATATATTGTATAAATGTTAGCATGGAAGAAGACTGGGAGTCATCTTCAGCTCAGACAGGTTGTTTTCAGATGTGGTGGATGTAGTAACTGTAAGGGAGTTTAAGGGAAGGCTTAATAAATAATTAAATGATCAGGGCTGGATTTCTTCTCTTTTTTTTTTGACTGATGTTGATGAAGATAAAGAGTGGATTTGGTAAATTTCGATAATCAGAAAGCAGTTGACAAGGCCTCATATAAAAGGCTTGTTAAAAAATGGTGTGGTGGATAAGTTATCTCATTAGATCCAAAAATGGCTCAAGGGAAGAAAAAATAATTATTTTCATAACACAAATAAGTTATATTAACACTTAAAAGCAAATCACTGTAGTAAATTTCAAACTTTCACAATTTTTTCTTCTTTTTTTTGTAGTGGATGAGCAGCCTCAACAGACTAACAGGCCCCTTGCTGTCCATTAAATGTTATGCTAACCCAATTAG